AACTGTACATTTCCAAGCACCTCACATATATCATTACATTGATGTTGCTCAGCAAAATTTTTGAATGCTCGTTTGATATTGTCCGCCATTTTGGGATCATCGCGGCTGTGGTAAGGAGTACTCCTGACCACATGTGGTATGGGTCAGTTTACTTCATGACACAAAGCATAAAGAACCACTCACTTCCTATCAAAACATACAACATTGCTGATGTGACCGAGCCGGTCACAGTCCATATTCGTAATCAAAGTTTGACTCGCGCTGAAATCATATGTGTAGTGATGAAATGCATAAAGGAGGTCACTCCACACTCCTCGTCTTGCTGGGGCATTGTTATAGTTATCCTCGCATACGTATCGGTGGCTAACAGAGGATTGTTCTTCGATTATTTTCCACCGAGTCTCATCTTCGTACCGGGAACCTGATGATTGCATGACGCATATTCGCTGGACCTTGAAATACAATGATGTTGTTAATATGGTATCATCGTATAATACCATACATAAGAAGATATATTGAAACAGACACTGACCTTCATACCCGAGGCATTTTGGTGCCATCTTTCAATCACGGGGTCTATGTCCAACTTCCCTCCTCCATCGATCTTGTTGAATAGATCGCGTTTAAGTCGTCTGAGGGCCATTTCGACGTACCTATTGTTTAGAGCACGCTCAAAACAATGTGCTCGCCCTTGAGATGCCATCTGAAGCCAATGTTTATGAAACTTGAGATGATACCAGCCCAATATCTCTCGGTGATAAACGTGAATCCATCGCACAACCCAATCTTCATCGTGGGTCGCCGCCTTGACTAAGGAATAGCCTCTGAAACCTATTCGATCTTCTAATTGGTCCACATCCTCGTATGGATCGTAATAAGTCATCTTATCTTTGATTTTCTTTGGCTTCAAACGATAAATATAGCCTTCTTCTTTGAGTCCTAGATCCTCAATATACTCATAGTAAGGGATCGATGAAACCGTTCCCACTCAAATGGAAAGTGGAAGCACAAGAACACCCAATTAGTTTGGGTGTTCATCACAAAAAAGACATAATACACATACTAGAAATATCAGCCTGGTCTGATACACTCAAAGTTTGAAAGCTTGTTTCAAGGATGTCGTCTTCTTCGCCATATGCATTGTCTTTACTGACGGCGATAGGTGGTGGTTTTCGGGTTCGATCCAGAGACCTATCATCAAGTTGGAACTCCGATCCGTTGGCCGCATTGATTCGAATTGGATGAGGAGGTCTGCTAGCGTGATCGGCGTCCATGTGGTCGGCCATGTGATCGTTATATCTGGACAAACCACCTGCAACTACAATTGGATAACTTGAAGTGGACCAATTGTTCAGATGTTTAGTTTTAGACAATGAAAGCGCACAACAATACAATAGTTCTTTCATTGATCATAACTAATGTATAAATATATGAAAATATATCGCGTAGGTTGAGAGACTACGCGAAGCCGCGGAATGTGTGTATCATACGCTTAGTTTCAATATATTATTATTGTTATTGACAATATGGACATTTTTTACATTGATCAACATAGACATACATCAATTCCGACACCGGTGGTTTCAAGAAACAAATATACAATAATTGAGAGCAACATATGGAGAATATATCAACAGGGAAATCAAGTACCAAGATAACTTATATCAACTAAAGAAGGTAATTACGCGAGATAAAAAGAAAAGGACAAAGTGACTGTCATTCATGTAAGTATCATGAAAAACATTAGTGCTTCAGCTTCACTACCTTCTTAGTGCTGTTAGCTTCACGTTCAACGAAGCGACGATCACCATTCCGCCATTCATCGCTGAAAACTTTCTTGCCTTGTTTAACCGTGTGTCCTCCGTTTTCAGCTACGTATGATTCTAATCTAAGTGGACCCTTTTTAACTATTCTTTCTAGCCAACGGCGATAATGGGTGACGGTGGAATAGTTGAAAGTGAACGACGACTGCCCAAAGGTATTTCTCCAGGCCTCGGTGACTGAAACTTTGTTGGACTCTACCCAAAATCGATTCATCTGGGCCATGGTTACACCTTGTGGCCAGGCTGCACCAGCTGCACCAGATGACACCACTTGAACTTCATCTTCATCATCGGAGGACGTCTGCTCGGTTTCCGTTCTCGATCTCTTGATACCACGAGGAGGGTCATTTGGTGGTTGTACGAGTTGTGGTGGTAAGACAAAATGTGGCAAAGAGTCGTGCTCATCTTCGGAAGAACATATATCGATTGCATTGGGTTTTTGCGTAAATCGGTTGCTGTCGAGCTGCTTGGCTGACAAGACCTCCTGTTCGATGTTGGTTTCAGGTTTTTGAAGCCATGGTAGAATCCCTCGTGACTCCATAACACTCGAAACCGTTGGTTTGGCAAGGGATGCCAGATGTAAATCCACGTTGATACATTCGTCAGGTTCTATTCCAGGGAATACGATCAGTAACTTAAGTGTGTCAATCGTATACTTCTCAAGATAAGACATCGAGAGGTGAGCCTAGTGGAATATAGAAGAAGGACATATGAGGGTATGGTTAATTATATGATGTAGTTAATAAATAAAGTGATCAGTTGTTCTTACCCAAGAATTTTCGTATTCGTTTCATACTTGTAACAATCCATTCCACTCCTCGCCGAGAACTTCCTTAACCAAACCTTTAAATTCGTGCGACGAGTCAAATCGGAAGTGAGGCCACGTCGGTATGTGAGTGCGAATAATGCGAGGCTTGGCCTGAATAATTATTCATCGAATCGATTATCAGTACTGATAGACAAGAATGGTTAAATAGCCACGTACCGTTGATTTGATCCACACACATATGGTCACATTACAGTTCGTCTGTTGATCTTGTTCTTGTTTAAGTCGTTCCGCGGCTTGTTTTCGGATGGTGAGGTCGAGGAATTGAACAGAATCATTGCCACGGACAACTAAACTAATGTCCCTTTTACCAGGAGGCACTGCAGCTGTGGCAGCCAGTTGGACTGGAGCAGGATCAGCTACGGTGGTATCTTGAACAGGCAGCTGGCCGTTGGTGAAGGTGTCGATGATACCGGAAATTTGTTCCTTCGCCTTGCGCTTCTTAGTATTGGCGGAGTGAGGTACGCAGTGTACTTTGTTGAGCTTGCTACAGCACTGAAGTGGTGCAATGAATCAGTTTAGAGCTCGTGCGATTGACAAGGTGGACTCACTTCAGAGCAAGCGTTGGCACTGCAACTGTTGTTCTTGCGCCGGCTATGACCAGAAGCTGTGACACCGTTGACTCCTCGGCAGGGTGACTTGTTGGCTTTGGGGCCTGCGATGCGCTGAGTCGCGGGAGGAGTAGGAGGGGCTTGATGTTGAGCTTGTGACATTTGCTTCAGCTTCAGAAGTTCGGCTACTTGCTGTTCTTGGATTACTTGATGTTGATGTAATTTCGGATTTTGATTTAAGTCGAGTGAACAGTTAAATTGCAGAACCTTGGAGGCGTAAAGAGCTCGGGGGAAGGACCTAAAATACCCCTTGTCGTATCGGCACTGTCATCAAAATCCTAGCGATTCAGTGTCTTGTACTGTTGGTAATGGATTAATGGGAATTACTCACAGTAATTCCCGTGAGTGGATTGGTTGGTTTTTGGCGGAGTGGGGTCCAATAAATGGTTGAATGTACTGTTCTGAAAATGCACTTGTCGGAATTGCAGATAAAACCAGTAGGGTTGGATTCGACAAAGGGATAGGATAACGGTTTTTTGCTATCAAGAGGCCTGAGGTACTTATTATGGATGGACGAGGTAGGAGCTTTGGGCATTGGTATTTGTGGTATGTTCGTGTTGTTGTTGTATACCAATATGATGTCGAGAAGATAAAATTCAGATTGCGTGAAGGCATAGGGGTCTTTGAACATTTTTGTTGGGGTCGAGCGTATTTCTTTGCGGTCAATTATGACCTTCGTTTCAGTGCTCGGATGATGATCGCGGAGGTGAGGTGTTGGATCAAGATCATGGGTTTGTGGATATGATCGAGGATGAGCTGAGGCGATGTGATACTTTGATGACTAGATTGGGGTGGGCGATTGATGTTATGTGATACTTCATGGTTTTGATATTCCGGAAAGAGTATTATGGCTTTATTTGGGGACTGTACAGGCTGCGACGCAGGATTGACAGCGCTCGCGCCTGACCGCGCTCGGATGTGCTCGCCAGTTTCATTGATCTTGCCATGCTCTCATTAAACCTGGTTTTGGACACAATTCAACAATGTCTTGCGGGAGACCTGTCACTTTTGATTGGATTTAACAGGTTTTAGAGCATCTCCAATGCTACCCAAGCTGAATGACTAAACCTTACGTTTATGTCAAAAACGTAAGGTGTACAGGAGTTATTCGGCAAAGCACCATCCAGCGCCGCGCCGAGGCCAAGATCCCACATGGAACCTTGTGTGCGAACGTGTTTTTTGTGAATTGACACATTCCCAAGCTCAGGTCAGCAAATTTGCTGACCTGGCCGAATATTCTGAATAACAGTATCCCAACGGTTTTTGTCCTTTCTATGACTAATTTATGATCTTCCGTCCAAACTATTACGTAAGCTGATACCAAGGCCCTTGATCATCTATCTCTACTAGGAGGTGCTCGATCATCATTGTGGTACGATCAAGCACTTTAATGATCGAGCTTGACCTTTTCTCAATCGTTGATGGTGCCCTCTTGTGAGCCACAAGCTCAGTAGGTCAACCTTCTATATCTCCGCAACCGTAGGGTACGGCCTCCAACCTCACCACGTTAAATAGTGTGGTTGTCTTTGTTTATTTGGATGTTTTTCGCTTGTCTTCGTTGCTCCGATACTTATCTCCACCAGCTACTTATCCATACCCTTTGCAAATCGATATCAAAGTCTTACAACTTCTTTTGTTAAATATTACTACTGTCCATCATCTCGAACCAATTTTGTTATTTCACTTACTCCTAACTACTCCTCGATCAAACCTCAATCATGCAACATACCTTCACTCGTGGTAGTGTAGTTTCAAACTCAGGCCAAAGTGTGTATTTTTTCTCCTCATATAGAGTATTTCATCATAGCCTGACTTTCGACCTCTCATCAAGGGGACATGAGTCTGAGTCCCCGCCGAAGCTTTCAGGCCCCAATGCAAAATGTTCCCCAAACATCGCATCACAGTAAGTGCCTTTAAATTGCTGCTGCCACACGTAAATCTAGCAACTAATGTTGAACCATTATCTCTATGTAAATAATAGGGCTTCAAAGTTCGATGAGTGGTCTTAGTATGGGACGGCACGTCTACTCTGGATCCCAGTTTCATCACCACACGGGCTATCGCCACGGCCGTGAGGAGTCTTTGGGTGGCCATTCTGAGCACAGCAATGCTCTCAACCGCAACTCATCCCGTTCGACTTCTGTTTCCGAAGATTTCGTGGGCTGGCCTTACAGTGGTGGCCCTGATGCGACTCCTGCTCTTTCCATCGCTTCTTCCTCGCCTTCGTCTTCCATGTGGTTCACTCCTCTTACTCCTTTATCTCCTACTATGACGGCCTCTCGTTCGCCCACGGTCGAGCAACAACATCCTCCATCGTCGTCTGTAGCTGCGTCGTCTCCCTCTGACCCCAAAGGCCGTCGCGGTGCCAACTTTGATGAAGAGTCACTCAATCAACTATGCGTGTCCTGGTTGCACGTTTCCCAGAGCCCTCTCACTGGCAACGACCAACAATCCAACGTATTCTGGGGAAAAATTACCAATCACTTCAACTCGAATGTTAGCGAAGCAAATGCTCGGTCTCAAAAGTCTGTCATGGCGCGATGGAGTGCTTTGAATCGTTGCATGTCCCGATTTGCTGGGTGTCTTGAGCAAATCAAGAGACTCAAAGAATCTGGTAAATCTGCTGAGGATCAAGTCACCGATGCTCTCGCTCTTTACAAATCCGATACAAAATCTGTTTTCAAAGATATCTCGAGCTACAACATTGTCAAATATGCACCTAAATGGCAACAGAACCCCTTCTACCTCGACCACTGTGGTCATTCGAAAGCTAAACATGAAGATACGTACTCCGACATGGACTTGGGTACTGATGTGGACAACTTGCCTCGTATGGATCGACCAATTGGTACGAAGCAGGCCAAACAAGGCAAACAAACCCGTTCTACTTTGGCCGAGGAGGTCATGCCTCAGCTGCTCCAAAATTCGAATACTGTGGCTTCTGCGACGAGGGACATAGCTGCCCAAGGTCGAGACGCCCAGAACACCCTGCAGTCCATTCTTGAATTCACTATACTCACTGCTGATACGAGTGGTCTTGATGAGGTAACACGAGCCGAGATCGAAGCGAGGCGTGGCCGCATTATTGTGCAATCTCGAGCCCTCCGCGAAGCTGAGGATGAGTAGTTGTCTGGTTAAATCTCCATCTGTTGACTATTGTTTCTACTGGAATGACTCGAATGTGTGACGAAATTTTTTGATGTTTATTCTCCATTTCAATTTTTCCTTTATTTGTCTGTTGATATTAAATTTCTATTCTTTCCTTCATTATGTTGTCATGGTCGCTCTCATCTTTACCTTTTCATAACTCTCGTTCAATGAAATTTATCTTGGTGTATTTAGTTCCATTCGCGGAGGTTTTCAAATCATCCGCGCCCGTGCAAGACGCAGCGATCATCGCAGATTTGCTGCGATGATCTATCCTCTTGACTGTCCTGTCACACATCGCGCGGCCGTGTGGACTTTACACCATGGAAAGGTATAAAGTAGAGGTACATCACTACCTCTGCCAAATTCCTCACCTTCCCCAAAAGTAATTGTTTTATCTATACAAACTCACTCGTCCACACAACCCAACCACCGTGAAACATCTTTACCTTCATAGACCCAGTTTTACACATTATTTCCCATATAATGTCTCGAGTTTGTGACGATGTGGCCTTATGGGGAGTCAGAGACCCGGGTAATCACGACGAAGGTGAGTAGGACCCTTTGTGTTATTTATTTGACCAACCGCAAGGCTCACCCAACTTATCCTTTACAGAGTGTATCATATGTTACGATTACGCCAATCACGTCAGCCAAGGGGCCCTACGACGCCGTAAGCGTCAAAATGAGATCAAGCGTAAAGAAGAAATCAAAAAGGCAAACCGCGTCATAAAGTTGCGTAATCAAAGCAAGCGTCGATTGTGATTCCGGGTGTTGCGCGAAGCGCTTTATCTTGTATCCACTTACAAAGGTCCCTACTTACAAAACCGTGGTGACAAGAAGCGAGCTGCTCTATTCATACGCAAAAACAATCTTGCACCGCTCATTACCGCAGATTTTGCTATTGGAGAGGAGAAATGGGAATGGCTTGACCGACGAGTTGCCAGTCGTATATACATTATGTAAACTTGTGGTTTGACTTGTGGTTTCATCTTTCTTGGCTGCTTCTCTGATGTGTCAAATTCAAATGCAAGTTTGCTCTCAACTTAATATGTTTAGCAATTGTGTTATAGCTCCCAAATGTATATAGCACCCAATGACCATTCGTTTCTATTTCACAATAGTTGTAAAGCAAATAAAACGCGCTAGGTTTCATACAAGAAGAACACGACCAGAGACAGAGAGATACACGACCAGAGAGTGATACCGCACGTAAACAAAAACAAAATGAGGGAATCAGGGGAGGGATAGTATATATATACTATCAAAGATACATCACAACTAAAAAGTTCAAGCCGGGCAGTAACTAGTTTACGATCAAAGACTACTAAAAACAAACTAAATATCATCATCTGACTCTTGGTTAACATCTCTCATATTCCAAATATGCTCAATGAGATCATTTCGGAGCGCTAAGTGAGCATCTAGAGAGCGTATCGCCTCGCGTCTGCGCAAATACCCGGCAGTGAGACCAGGTGGACGCTGGAGAGGAGGTGGTGGTAGTAAGTCTGCATCGTCCAAGTCAGCAACCCCGGCATCGCCTTGATCCTCTATGACCATGTTGTGCAAAATAATGCAAGCATTCATAATGAGGGCAAGCGATGACGGTTGCCACATACGTGCGGCACCGGTTACTATATGAAAACGGGCCTGTAATACACCAAATGCCCGTTCGACATCCTTTCGAACAGACTCTTGCCTCTTCGCAAACAGCTACGCATCACAGAAGCAGCGCGTACAGAGGAGAAATAAGTAAAGTCAGTAGCAGTAAGCGAAAGAAGCCAACTTCAAATCAAAAAGAAGGTATGCTTACAGCCAATTTAGGATTCGAAGGTGCGCTAAAGGTTTGAATCAAAGTTGACCACTTTGGATAGATACTGTCGGCTAGATAGTAGCCGGTCGAGTATTGAGAGCCGTTGACCTCAAAGTTTACAGCGGGCGCAACACCAAGGGACAACTCGTCGAAGAGGTTCGAACGTTCCAATACATTGATATCGTTTAAGGAACCAGGTAATCCGAAAAACGAGTGCCAGATCCAGAGGTCTTCAGTCGCCACCGCCTCGAGAACAAGAGTAGGGGAACCCGAACGTCCGGCGTAATGACCTTGCAGGGCTCTGGGACAATTCTTCCATTCCCAATGCATGCAGTCCAGGGAGCCGAGCATGCCAGGGAATCCTCTGGCGGCGTTTTGAGCAGTGATTTTGGCGACGTCTTCGGCGTTGGGCTTTCTCTGATAGTGAGGACTGAAAAGTTGAATGATCCCGCTGCAGAAACGCAGGAGGCAATCGATCGCGGTGGATTCGCCTATGCGCAAATACTCGTCTTGTTGATCGGCGGAAGTCCCGTAAGCGAGCTGCCGAATGGCGGCAGTACACTTTTGGTAAGGTGAGATTCCTGCTTTACCTGGAGTTGGAGGGATGGGTCAGCGTCAGATCCAGTCAAAGTTCATGAACATGAACAAGGAAAAGTCAGGAAAAGTTGACTCACCCACAGCATCACTGCGCTGGGTGAAGTACACATCATGCTCACCCAGAGACTCCACGATGCGGACAAACAAACGACGACTCATTCTGAATCGACGACGGAAAAGGCCTTCGCCATAGACAGGAGTGGGACCAAAGTAGTCCTTCATGAGCCTGTCGTTGCATTCCTCAGCGTTTCGGAGTAAGTTGGGGGAACGGCCGGGAAGAGATCCACCCGGACCCTTCGATTCCTCTAATTGCAACACCAAGCTCAGCATATCTGAGTTATAGGTAGATAACGATGAGAACACTTGAGCGCGAAGAGAGGCAGCAACCTGGTATTGACCGAGAAATTCAACTACGCTGATAGTCATGGTGTTAGGAAATAAGGAAATGTAAAGAAGTATAGACGGGAATAATAGAAATTGAGTTGGAGTAATGGTTTATAAAAAGATATGGACAAAAAGCACACTGAAAGATAGGGCAAAGGGTTGGGGATTGTAGAATAAGAGTTTGATTATATATCTTTCCGACCTTAAATCCGCGCTCAATCTAGGGTATCATTTGAACCCGATGGTGGTCAGAGCAAATTAAAAATGCGCTCTATACCAGCCAACCCCAAAGAGGGCAGAGATATAAAATAGAAGGGCTTGATATGTGATCGAGCGATCTATATGCGTGGCCTCTCGATCACATATCGGTGAGGTTGGAGAACAAACGAGGTAGAGCGAGGTAGTACGTAGGGGATTATCAAGTTTGGATCATTTGGGTTGTGATTGACGAGGGTTGAACCTCAACTTTACCTTAAGCGGAAATCAGATTTAAGTACAGCTACGCGCTGCAGGGCGCTGTCAGCTGTAAAAAATTACAGCTGTCCAGCCGAGGAAAAATATGCTCTGTACAAGTTTTCGGATACGGGAACATTGGAGATGCTCTTATACTTTTGTATTAAATCTCGGTGTGACACAAATTTGTATTTTTATGCCTTTTATATATTTAGTAGCTGTAGTGACAACCCCATATTAAGCTTGTTGCATGTATTCACCATGCCCTCGCCACTATCCTTTTTCAGCACTCTTGAAATATGAATTCAAAGGACCAGCACATCAACCCAATCTTTCTTGATTGTTCTTCCCAAGACAATCTGTTGGCCAATGAAGGTGTCAATGTTGATTCCCTGGACCCTGTGATTGTTCAGGTGATGTTTTCAAGCTTTTCAACTACAGCCATTCTGATATTTCTTGTTGCTCTCATTTTTGAAAAGAAAGTTTATGAGCTCAAAACCTAAGTTTTAACTACTTAAAACCTGGAAATTGGCTGTATTTCCTTGAATTACAGCCAATTCCAAAGTTTCACTGAGTAAAAACTTAGGTTTCACCGAGTGTCACTTTTTCTTTTTTCGTAAACAGAGTGACAAGAACTATCGGAATGGCTGTATGCCCACATCTTAAATAGCCCCCAACTAAGTATCAACAATGAACCAGA